TTCAAGGCAATGAAGGATACACATTTGAATTTTCCCACAATCCTGTGAGCAGAGCGGATGCTTGCTATTGCATTTCACAGAGCCTCGCTTTCCCCAAACTTGATCTCTTATCGTCTGGAGAGATCAGTTTCTATCTCGCCTCGTTCGGGTCTTATCAACAGCCCTGCGGGATTCGAACCGTGACAGCGCAGTGTGTAATCTGGGCACGTTAACATGCGACTTTCATGAAATGTCATGCATTTTGCATTTCAATTTCCGTTGTGTGATTGTCGATGTGACCCAATTGTACTCGTGGGCATGTGGCGTATTGGTTACACACTGCACCGTCATGCTTCGACTCCCGCTTGTGTGTCGACAAGACCGAGGCGAGGTCGAAACTGCAGTCCACTTCTGCCTGTGGAAGTAAGCATGTGTGAAATGCAATGCAAATGTCGGCTCTACTCACATGCTTGTGAAAAAATCAACTACCGGTGCCTCATCACCTTCAACGAAATATAAACCTTTCTGCCGGATTACCTGTCTTTGTGTATGTATGCATTTATGTATCTGTTCGTATTTGTATATGAATACACGCATGTTTGCTAGTTTGTGTTTGTATGTATGTATATACATACAGCAAGTAGATTGCAGACCGAGGCGGCCACTCAGCCACAATCGTTCCGCCAACGCTTATTGGATCAACTAATATTCTTGTTTTCTCTTCTTCACCCTAACCCTCTGGCCTGGCTTGTGGTATTGCCTGTTTGCAGATACGCCAGAAGAGCTGACCGCCACGATTTGGTACTTTCGAGTGTTCGCGGCTTCTGGGCGCTTCTGCACCACGCCCAGTTGGGTCTTGGTCCGAACCGGCGCTGTTGGCCCGAGCTGACGATTCGGCGTCACTTGAGGACTCGGTTGGTTCGTCTGACTGACTGTCTTTCGGCCACGGCCAAGTGGACGAGAGGACGAGTCGCGACCGACGACGCGACCGACGACGACGCGGCTTCGACTCGTCCACCGACACGCCTCGACGCCGTACCAACAGCACATCGGTCCGCTGGTGAGTGTGATCGGGTCTCGGCGCCAGGCGCCACGTGGCGAGGGGAACTGGGCAGGTACAGAAGCCGACCGCTTGCGCCCAATCGCAGATGAGTCAGGCTGGACAACATGACTTGAGGGAGCAAATCATACTATTTTTAGTTATTATTAGTAGTAGTATTATCACCATGAAAAAATATATATATTTATTCAAATTAAGTATTGTTTTTCGCGACTACCAGTAAATCACTTACAAGATGTATTCACACAATTTAGTTTAAGGTGATAAGGGACTGGTAGAAGAAGAATTTTCCCACAATCGTATGAGTTGAGCTGACGTTTCCATTTAATTTTACAAAGCTTTGCTTTCCCAAAAGTTGTTCTCATCCCGGCTGGAGTGGACTGCAGTTTCGACCTCGCATCAACTGGTCTTATCAACATCCTCAGCGGGACTCGAACCGCGACAGTGCAGGATGCGAGCTTGACACCCTAACCACTCGGCTACACTACCACTTTTGGGAAAGCAAAGCTCATATCATTTGTGGTAAAATTCTACTTCTACCAGTCCTTCATCACCTTAAACGAAATTGGGTGAAAACATCTCAAAATAATTATAATAAAAGAAGTAAAATAGTGTCAATAATGATGTCTATAATGAGGATAGGGGGATTGTTAAAGTTGATGAGTCCATCATCCCACTTCGATCAAGCCCGATCTGAACGTTCAGACGAGATCTGAAGGAGTAAAGTTTTCAGTTCAGACACAACACAAAAGCGCCAATGAAACTGCACTTGAACCTTGTCAAGCCGAAAGGTTGGCACATCAAAACGATTCAGTGCATTTCTGAGTTGCTTTTTTACAGTTTTGTGCCAGCGCATCGACTGTTCCACCCCCAAAGTTGACCTAATCGTGTATGTGTTTTTCGATTTTAGTTGCTTCACTCTTCACACCGGTGCCACAGCGCGAAGCGACTCGCGAGGAAAACGAGCAGGATTTGAGCCTGAGGGTGCAAATCTACACACTGGTCTTCGAATCATATGTTAACGAAGTAAATGAGACTCTTTTTTTAACACCACCTTATGAGTGGGTGCGTGGTTACTTTCGACGTTAATAGATTTTCAGACTATCAGTAATTATTTATAAAAGATATTACGTAGACTAGCTTACTTAAAGTAACTTAAGAAGGGATTGACTTTGTTTCCGCAACTTGGTCTTGTTGTCTAGGCGACTAAGTTGAACACATCTTGTCCCAACTCCTCTGGCATGGTAGCTATCATAATTTCCAGCATCAGACCGTGGATTTGGTATGTTCTCGGATGCTGGGAATTATGATGATTACTATGGCAGGGGACTTCAGACTAGGTGTCTTCCAACCAATCGCCCTGACAACAAGATCAAGTTGCGAAAACGAGATCAACCCACTTCTATAAATCGAAAGGAGATTACGACCATACCGAGGGCCATACCATCTTGGTCTTTATATCCCCGATTGAGAAGGGATGGTTGAATGTTTACCACAAGCAGATTAGAACGGCTCACGATGCCATGGGATTTCACTTGGACCTGCATTCCAAAAGATCATCTCGTCCCGGCTGGACGGCAGTTTCGTCGACATTTAGTGCTGGATTCGACAGTGAATCGTGAGTCATTCTATTCCAATACACGACGACGGTTGTCACTGACTCAAAGGAAAGGTCAAGCCTCTTCTATCTCATGTTTGTATAATGTTGGTTCGACCACGTTTTCTCGACTTGGTCGGAGCGTCATGGAGACCTTGTGGAACGTACTCAATCCTGAGTCCTCTGACATAGCATTCGTGACTGTCAACTTCGGACTATTGAGTTGGTACATTTTCCAACGTTTCGCCGGCATTGTCAATAAGAGGCGCCATCGTTAGCACACAGTTACAGCTTTACAAAGTTGTGAGTTTAATAAGTTGTAACTCTGTGCTCACGATGCCGACTACGATACCGGCGAAACGTTCAGGAATGTACCAAGTGAATGGTCGGCAGCTGAACGTCACGAATATTATGGCTAAAGACGTTCCACAAGACCTATTTGGAGCTCCGACCAATTTGCGAAAACGAGTTTGAACAGATACTATAAAGCTACATAAGCTACATAAGACTGCGACCAAACCGAAGGACACACCATCTTGGTCTTCATTTCTACGATCCTGTTTTTATAGTTAAACTGTCGATTAAACAAACATTTTTTCGCTGTGTGAAGTAAGGCTGCGTTTCGAAGATGCTACTTATTTACTATTTAAGTAGTACCCGACTATACTCCTTTTTAACCAGCTCCCCTCGTGAATGCTTATGCCTATTCATGAGGCATCTCCTGCTCTAGACAGATCAATTACTTGGTTTGTGGAAGTCACGATCCCACTCTTGAACCGGTATCTCCTGGAACGGTTTGATGTCAACTACCGTCTGATCTCCTATCCACAGCGAATTTCCATTTTTGGACAAAAGCCCAGTATTCATCCATTATGCTTCGATGTCTCAACTCCTCTCTTTTAGCCTAAATGGCGTCCAAAGGTACATAATGGCTTCCTCTTAAAGGGCCGTCAACTTCATATACTTCACGGGTTTGGCATACCCTCCTCATCCCGTCAACCAGGCAAGCATGTGGTCAAGTTTAATAATGGCACGAGCATTGGAAGCGGTTATCTCAAGGATAAGTTGGATCCGGCTGAATTTGGTCGAAAACACATAAAAGTCAGATTTCGCAGAATCGCTTACTTCAGTGCCAGATGTTCTATTTTTCATTTGATTCGAGAAAGCGGATGGAAATGATTAGGAAATTGACATCACGAGCCGGTGAAGACGGGTTGCCTGAAACTTGTGACCGCTGGAGTGTGCCAAGAAAATATTGGTTCAGCCTCCTGCGACCCCGATGACGCCTTGACAGACATTGCCCGTATTTTTCGAATAAAGCATTATTTTA